AAAATTACTGATTAATCATGTCTGGCCCACGGGGTAAACAATTATCATGTTAATTGGGGAAGAGTCAATAGTGAGGAAATCAGGACAAGACCACCTGGTCTCCTGCCAGCCACTTTCCACTTTCTAGTAGATAACTCCTGCCAGTTTTGGGGACACAGGCACTGTCACCTATGTAGGGAAGATCAGGTCTGGAGCCACGCCATCAGAGCTGCAGGTAAGGGAATGGAGAGCTTTGCTGAGTTGTGATTTACATTGGGGTCCTTGCTGTCCTCCCTGGGCTGCCTGGAAAGCTGGAAGTGACAATGCTCCTGGTGGGAAGGAGCTGAGGGTGTGGATCAGCCTGAGGAGATGGATGTGTCCATGAGGTGAGGAGTTAGCAGATGTGGCAGCCTGGTTGTTCCCAGCGTTGGCCATCACACACATTAACTCACGGGGAAAGGGTTTGTTATCACAGAACAGGGTTTGTTATCACAGAACAGGGTTTGTTATCACACAACAGGGCGTGTTATCACACAACAGGGCGTGTTATCACAGAATCATGGAACGATTTGGGTGGGAAGGGACCTTAAAGATCATCCAGTTCCAACCCCCTGCCAAGGCAGGGACACTTTCCACGATCCCAGGTTGCTCCAAACCCTGTCTGACCTGGCCTTGGACACTTTTTCTCCAGGGATCCAGGGGCAGCCATAGCTTCTCTGGGCACCCTGTTCATTGTGATGTGAAGAAACTGTGCCGTTGGGCTACAACAGGAAGAAGAAAACACCAACAGGTTGTATTTCTTTAGTAACAAAACCCAGTTTTGTTTATTCCTCAAGTGTCCACAAATTCTGTTGCCTATCCCCACAGTCCCTAATTCCCTCAGGGATGCTCTTTTCAGAACATTTATTGCTCCTAGAAGTTGCAGTTCCTTATGATGGGATTCAGGATTCGGGTTTTCCCCAAACAGACATCCTGCTTTTCCTTGCACTGCAAGATGAACTCCATGGTTACAAGACTGCAGGAAAACATGGAATTTTTCCATGGAATATGGAGAGGTCCTCTTCACATTGCTGGTGAATTAGAGCTCTTCTTCATGTTGCTGGTCAGGGATCCTTAAACATATGGGGTCCAGTATTTTTACAGTTACATAAATCTACCCAGCACAAAGGGGAGAGGTGGACAGCAGCAATATGAGATGCTGATTGAATGTCCTGAGCCTCTTCAGCTGGATTGTTTGGTCTCATTTCAAAAGTGTCAGTGACAGGCAGACCAAAAAGGACGAGATCTATGAATATGAGGATGTTCCAAGGGTGCATTTCTTTAAGAACTTCCCTGTCATCCACCAGGCTTCTGCTGGACTACATGTGGGAGTCACCAGTGACATGGACAAAATACTGAGTCCTGGTAAGGCTGTGCTGGTTGGCAGCTGGGAATATCATGCTCCTCAACCTGTTGTTTTCCAAGTCTGATGTCAGAAGTTGAGTTTTATGACCTGGAGTGTGACAAAAATTTGCCCGGATGAGCGTTGTCCCTTTTGGGACAGCACTGGGCTCAATTAGTGCGGCATCCACACCTGGAGACCATCCTTGGGAAACTGTCCTGTCAGCTCGCCCAGATTCCTGCCTGCAGAGAGCCACTGGAATGTGGCTCTTAAATAAAAAGAAAAAAAGGAAGGAAGAGGGAAATTACCGATTAATCATTAATCATGGATGGGTGCCCAAGAGCAGGGACTCTCTGAGAGGTGAGGCACAGCCCTCCCTTGGCTGTGAGCCTCTTTGCTCAAGAAGAAAGAGCTGAAGCAAGTCTCCATTTCCTGCACCTCCTTCTGCGAGCAGCCCTTCAGAGGCAGCAGATGGGTCCAGCATGGCACCAACACAATCAGAAATAGCTCTGGCACAGCTCCCCATGTGGTTTCAGACTGTATTGTCCCTGGCCATGTGGCCAAGCTGCAGGAACTGCTGGAAAACCTCAACTCTGAGCTTGCAGAGCCAGGATGTCATTAGGCACGGCAGGGAGGAGCAGGAAAACAAACACCTGGCACCACCACATCCCTTTAGCAAGGAGGATTGTGGTGTAAAAGGTGAAGACTGTGGCCTGTGGCATTCACATTCTCTGAACAGAGAGCGACATCATTCTCTCTGCCAGGATTTCTCCTGAGGAAGGCAGTGAGAAGCTCAGAGAAGAAGAGAACAACTCTTACCTGCTTGCTGCTCCTGTTGTTTGGCGCATGTGGAATGTCTTATGAGATTGTTTATCAAAGGTGATGGTTGTTTGGATTGATTGGCCAGTTGGGTAAAAGCTGTGTCGAGACTGTCTGAGACAGTCATGGGTTTTTCTTGAGGATCTTTTTAGTACAGTATCTCTTTAGTATTTATAGGTGATATTTTTGCCTGACATCTGGAAGGAATGATGAGCAAGACTCCATCTTATCAGAAGGCTAATTAATTACTTTATTATACTATATTATTCTATATTATATTACATTACATCTAAACTGAATCTGCCAAGCACTCAACTCAACTGCACAGCATCTCGTGACTGTCAGCTGACAGTCCCACATACCCACCTGGATTCAATTGGTCATTGAATCAAAACACTCACACCAGAATCCAATTCCCTTCAGGTAAACAATGTTCCACAATGCATTCCACTTGTGCACAAGGCAGGAGCAGTAAATGAGACAAGAACTGTTTTGATCATTCTTTTCTCTGCTTCTCTCAGGTTGAGAGAATGTGAATCCCACAAGTATTCTTTAGCACAGTATCCCTTTAGTATGTAATTTAGTGTATTAATGTAATACGGTGTAGCTTAATAAAGCATTTGTTCAGCATTCCTGAATCATGGAGTTAGAGCACATTATTCCCCAGATGGGGGTCGGTCATCTACTACAGTGGTCTAAGAGGCAAATCCAGTATTTGCAGAGCATCCTCCCACCTGCCACGGGCTGGGACTGACAGAAGGTCTCATTGCAGCCATCAGCTGTGGGGATGACAGGATTTGTGCTCCCAGCCTGGGCTCTGGGCTGGTCTCAGGGCCTCTGAGACAGGCCAGGGTGCTGCAGTGTGCATGAGCAATAAGAGGGGTCTCCTATTAGCACCGACCTTTGAGGATGTGAAAGTGAAAAGAGCAGAGAAGAAATATTAAAAAAAAAAAAAAATCAAGTCCAAGCCAGTGGAATGTCTCTGGTTTATTCATTGCTGCCTGATTTCTTATTTACTATTTATTTATTTACTTGAAGGCGAGGTGACCTTCAAAGCTGCTGCTTGTCACTGGCAGCCTCTTGGTTGCAGGTTGCATGTTAATTTTTGGCTGGGCACTGACAGTGAGCATCCCAGGCATCCTGTAGGGGAATCTCTGCCCCTTAATTTTAGTGCTGTTTAAAAGCAGGAGTCTGTTCTGGGTAGCCAGGCTGGGTTTGGAAGCCTAAACCATAAAAAGCTGTAGAGAAAATGTGAGCCTGGTGATGCAAATTCCCCTCGATTTTTGTTCCACCTCATCCCACTCATGTGAGGGATGAGTGGCTTTGACTCTGTGCCATAGAGGGACAGTTTGCAGGCCCCACAGCAGATGTGGGAATGTTCTCGCCCTCCAAACTCTGCCTTTGCAGAGAACAATCATCCACCTCCCACAGATCCAATGCAGCACAGTTTATTTTCATTTTTAACAGCCTGTAAACCCAAGCATCTTTTCCTCCAGCCTTTCCCACTCACCAGGGATGTCCACGCAGGTCTTCAAGGTGATTTTGCAGCCCCCAGCACAGCAAGGTCACCACAACCACAGCCACAAATGCATCCAAATTGTGTCTGTGGAGAATGAACAAGAGATGATGACAAGAGGGGCTTCCAGGGCAGGAGCCAAAGGAAAAGATGGGATGTCTGTGGTGGTTACAGCACTGCCAAGATGCCAGCAATAATTTGTTGGCAGCCAAATACTTCAAGCCAGGACCTTGCAAGCCAGGCACCTCATTCAGGGTCTGGAGTGTGCCCTGGACACTTCCCTTTATTATTCCAAATAAATTCAGTGCTCTGCTCAGTGTCCCAATTAATGCAGCAGGGCCTGACTCTGGGCTGTTGTGAACACATAAAAATGTTTCTGTGTGCTCTCAGACAAGCGCCACGCTTCACCCAGAGATGGAGGGGTTTTCTGGGAGGGAAAATTTGTCACCCTGGGTTTCACTTGTGCAAACAGAAAATTTTGCTCCTTTCAAAAGCAGGGGAAATGAAGACAGGAAATGAAGGCATGCAAAAAATAAAGGCAGGAAACTAATTTCTTGAAGGAGAGGGGTGTGAATGGTCTAAAGTATTCCTTTGGTAACCTTAAAAATTAATTATGGTGAAAACGGTCCCAATGAGTGGGCATATTGAATTCAAGATAAAGGTGCCACTTTGGTAAACACACAACCTTAACTTGGCAAATCTTACCCATAACTTTGGATGTCATCCCTTTAGGAGGAGCTGTTTCTTCCCCTTGGCACCAGAGGTAAGAACAGAGCCCAAGAATGGTTTGGGCTGGAAGAGACCTTAAAGATCATCCAGTGCCACTCCTGCCATGGGCAGGGACACCTTACACTGTCCCAGGCTGCTCCAAGCCCCATCCAGCCTGGCCTTGGACACTCCCAGGGATCCAGGGGCAGCCACAGCTTCTCTGGAAACTGTGCCAGGGCCTGCCCAGCCTCACAATAAAGAATTTCCACCCAATATCCCAGTTAAATCCCCGTTTTAGTTTAAGACCATTCCCTGCATGCTATCAGTATCTGCTGGGATAAAAAGTCACACACCTCCTTTCCCATCCGCCCCCTTCAGGGGCTCTGAGCCCTCCCTGGAGCCCCCTCCTCCCCCGTGAGCACCCCCAGCTCCAGAGCAGAGGGGCTCCAGCCCTTGGAGCATCTCTGGAACCTCTGCAGTACATCCAGGGTGGAGGATGCGATTCCTAAACCCAAATAACTTATTCCCTCAGTTTCAGGAGGCTGGGTTGTTACCCAACACATGCCATTTACTCTAATTTTTGACCAATAAAAGAGCAGCTCTGTCAAAGCAGAGCCACAAAAAATTCCCGTTCACTCGTGAGTGTTCCTCTCCACGGAAATCTTTAGTAAAAGGCGAAAGATTTATTCGCTTTGAAGAGAAACCGGAGTATGCCCCCTGCTCTCTCCCCAGACCCTGCCAGGCTCGGACGTTCCTCTGGAGGACACGGTGACCTTTTTCACCTCCCGGTTTGACCCTGTGCTGTCCCCAGCCCCGTCCCCCGACAGTGTCACTGCCAGTCCCGTGTCCCCACCCCAGTGTCCCCACGGCAGAAAGTGGGAATTTTGATCAGAGCTGCGCGGCAGGCGCGCGGTGCACCCTGGGTATGCAAATTAGCCGACTGCTAATGAGGCAGAGAGAATGAGTCAGAGAAACGCCTTTTGTCAGCCGGGCAGCGCCAGGGACGCGGGCTGGCTCAGCTCAGCTCCCGTTCCTAACCAACACACAATCCCGGCAGGGTTTGGGGGGGAAGGGACCTTAAAGCTCACCCAGTGCCACCCCTGCCATAGCAGGGACACCTCCCGTGTCCCAGGCTCCTCCAAGCCCTGTCCAGCCTGGCCTTGGACACTTCCAGGGATCCAGGGACATCCTAAGAGCTCCTGCTGATGCAGAAAATGAGACTCTTTTGGGTGTGTCTGGTGACAATCTTTGTGACTGGGCTGCTGGCAGAGGGACATCAGCTCCATGCCTTGAGTTAGATGGGCACAGACTATCTCCAAAGGTTTGCTTTAATTAAAAAAAAAAAAAAAAAAAAAAAAAAAAAAAAAAAAAAAAAAAATCTCAACACGGGCCAGGAGGGGGAGAATCTGTGCTGGCAGGAAGCAACTCCAATACAATGATTGGAGGAAAAAGTCTCAGAGCAATGCCTGAAATCCCTGAGCAGGGCTGACTCAGTGGCTGGATGCAGAACTGGGTCGTGGTGAGATGAGGAGAGGCATTTCTCACCTGGGCACGGCAGAATTGGGGACACCCTGCTCTGATGTCTGTGCCTGCAAGGGAGCACCCAGTGCTTGGAGAGACAGCAGAAGAGAGCAGCGAGAGGGACTCAGAAGTCTGGAGGACAAACTCTGGGCAGGAGACGTGTCCAATTTGCCCCGCTCGGTTCCTGGGGTGACACTGGAGAGGCACCTCCCTACGGAGGTGTTTGGCTGATTCTGCAGGGGTGTTTCAGGGGAAATGAGAGAAAACATTGCTCAAGTCAGGCTGGAGGAAGTAAAGGCTAAGGTGAATCAGGGAGAGGATTTAAAATGCTGGGAAAACGTCCTGAGGAATCTGGTGGATTTTCTCTTGCCTCAGAACAAACTCTGGAAATCAGGCTGTAGTTCAACACAAAGCACTGGACTCCCAACAAGAGCAGGTGGGGGAAAAAGAAAAGTTATTATATAAAGATATATAATATTAATGATATTTTATTTATTAATTTTAAAAATTACAATTATATAATAAATGTAAAGTCCATAGTTAATTCTAAGTATATAAATCTCTGAAATCAATATTCAGGCCAGCAGAAAATTGGTGCAGCTAACTCTGGAGCAAGATCAGGCTGTAGTTCAACACAAACCATGGACCTCCAACAAAAGCAGGTGGGGAAAAAAAAAGTTATGATATAAAGACATATAATATTTATGATATTTTATTTATTATTTTAAAAATTACATTTATTATATAATGACTATAAAGTCCATAGTTAATTCTAAGTATATAAATCTCTGAAATCAAGCCAAAATCCAGGCCAGCAGAAAGTTGGTGCAGCTCAGTCTGGAGCAAGATCCAAACCCTCTGAGCACGTTTAAGGCTCCATCACTCTGAAAAATTTAATTTTGCAGCCCTGCAGATCCAGCAGGGGATAACTGGCTGCAGCTATACAAAGGGAACAGGCTGGAGCAGCAGCAGATGCAGAAGTGCAGGACAGTCCTGAGACTGTGATGTGCTGCTGCTGTTGGGAAGAAGCACAACAGTTGTTTTTTGTTTTTCCAGGAACATCCACACTGATTCCATGAGTTGCTGATGCCCCAAACTGAGAGTGAAGGCTTGGGCAGGGGTCTGCTTTTCTCTGCTACACCATTTCCTCCATCATCTATTTCTAGGGATGGTCCTGGTAGTCCAAAGAGCGGGCTGAGCTTTATTTTCACCCCCTCCTTTCCCAAATTTCATCTTGGGGAGTTCTAACCTGGACCCTTCTACATATATATATATATATTTTTTTTTTTTCCTAAATCACCATCTCCTTCTCACAGATCCATATTCTTCTCCCACTCCCACTGGCCTGTGAAGATCTTGTCCTGCCAGGCTCATCTAAGGCCTCAAGTTCTGCTGTCATAAATGATAAAGATGTTCCCAATTCCCAGGCTGAGCAGCCAGGATGGGGTTTGCAATCAGTTTTAATCACGAGTAACTGAGTTATTGCGAGCGATAAGCCCCGTCTGCAGGCAGCTGTGATGTAATGGAGATGACAGTTCAGAATTGGGTCTGAGGGTTATTTCTGGGGAAGGCAGAGAACCACAAAATTAGACTGAGTGCAGGGGAAAAAGAGAAAGGTATGAAGAGAGTGAGTGCTGCAGGCTCACACCACTAAGAGTTCCCTCCCTGCCGGGCAAGACAATAATCAAAATTAATTTGTGGAGGAAGGCAGGCACTCAAAGAGAAATCAAACAGGTGACCACAGCTGGCGTGAATTTCACAGGATGGGAAAGGAAGAGGGCTGGAAGGAAACAGCTACCAGCTGTCCCCACCTTCCTGAGCCTGCAGGAACAGAGATACTTGGATGCTGAATGCATGAGAAACAGCCCTTTGGAGGAAGGAGGAATCTCCTGGGAGCAAACCTGATGTCTTTAAATGCATGTTCAGGTTAGTCAAGCAGCACATGGCAAGTGATGGATATCACAGGCTCCTGCTCCTGCCTCTCTTTTCCACAGAGCAGAGTCCCTGCTGCTGCTTCTCCCCTGCTCTGCTGCATCCACATCCTGGGTCCAGCCTGGACTGCTGTGCTCAGTATCTTAAAACAAAGAACTAATGGCTTCATGCTGAAATAAAGTAGGTTTAGATGAGATGTCAGGAAGAAATGGTCTCCTATTAGGGTGGTGAGGCCCTTGCACGGGGTGCCCAGAGAAGCTTGGCTGCCCCTGGATCCCTGGGAGTGCCCAAGGCCAGGCTGGATGGGGCTTGGAGCAGCCTGGGACAGTGGGAGGTATCCCTGCCCATGGCAGGGGGTGGAATGAGATGAGCTTTAAGGGAAGGACCTGGTTCATGATGTCAGAAGATCTCACACAATAAATCTGATCCCATCCTCAGCAAAGGAAGGTCACTCTGGATTTGTCCCATCTGCACACACTCTCTGTCCTGCCCTTGCTGGGTCACTTCAGGCCGCTGGACCATCCATCCACAGCTCTCCCCTTGTCACAATGGATCATGGCATGGCCCGTTTCTGCAGCCTGTGTCCTGCTGCACTGCTGGTGTGCTCCCTCCTGCCCTGTCACATCAAATCACCGCCTGCCCCTGCCTCCAGCCATCTCTAGTATTCAATGAGTCAGAAAGGAGCTGAGGCCAACCTGACCTTTATCAATAAGATGATGTCACCTGCTGAAAGAAAGTCCTGATAAAGGTAAGAGCAGGCTACCTGATCTCCTTCCTGATCTCTGTGTCCAGAACTGAAAACCACGATAAAAGGATCTGTTCCTGATGAAAATTCAGCTACCTGTGCTGACCTCAGCCTGCTGTGCTTGGAGACAGGGATCTGCCCAGGGAAGAGCAACCTGCTGCATATTCACTCCCCAGATAAATTCTTCTCTAAAGACAGATTGGGTGAAGGTCAGTCTGAGTGGAGGAGAGGGGAAAGCTGGCCAGCACATTTCACTTAAATAATATTTTGTTAAAAATATACCTGGTGCATTTTTGCCCTAAAATCCCTCGATTCTGTGCTCTTGTCATGAGAGGGAAGGAAATCCGAGTGAACTGCTAATGTGGATTAGCTGAACTGCAGGAAAGCACAGGTATTTTTATTCAATTACAGCATCCTTAGCCTGACTCATCCCAATCCCTTTGGGCAGAGATTTTTTTCCCCACAGATGATAACTCTGTGTGACTGCTCCACCTGTCCACAGTGTTCACCACGGGCTATTCCTTCCAAATTCCTGTGTCCAGCCCAGCTTGGGTGCTGCTCGTGCTGCTCTCCAACCAGGGGCTGTCAGAAGATGTCATGCAGGACACAGGGGTTGAACCTCCACTGGGTGCACGACCTCAAACTGTTGGCTCCTGCTGCACCTCCTCGTCCCATGTTTCTAAACACAGCACTGACAACCATCTGTTCTGCCTCCACACCCAGCCCACGGGGCCCCAAGATGATTCTGCCACCAGCCTGGGTGCTGCAGGCTCTCAGGTGTGTGTGTGGCCCTCATCACTTCTCCAGGGCTGAAGATATCAGTGCACCTTGGCTTGCAAATGGACAAGGTGAATCCCTCACAAAAACTAAGCTGTACCTCAGCTAAGCCTTGATGAGGGATGGAGAGAGAGGGGACAAGCCAGGGAACTTGTAGTGCTGTAAAACACACCTGTCCACTGTAATTCCATGACCTGGCTGAACTTCATAACCTGAACTCTGGCATTTCTACTCTTTCAGAAGGGCTTTGCCTTCTTCAAACTCTCTTGTGCCTCACCAGTGAAAATATCCAGCTCTGTCCATAGCAGACAAAATTCCCACTGGTTGTTTTTGCTGCTGGAGGACAGCAAAATATTTCTGAATCATCTGCCTGCCTAAATTTCCTTAGGTTAGCTCACTAATATCCCATAATAGAGTGGGGTTTTCTTGCATGAAAAGAGAAAGAAGAGAAGAGAAAAAAGAAGAAGAGAAGAGAATGATGAAGGAGGTGCTGTGCATGAGCAAGGCCATACAGGAATGACAGCAGATCTCATTCCCTTTGCACTGTGACTCTGCTTCTGGGGCCTTACATGGCCCTGTAGAATTGAATTCTGGCACAGAAAAATATTCTTTTGTAGAGTTAAATAATTTTCCTCTCCTGATCTGCCCCTAATTTGGAGAGGCAATATCAGCTTCATAGCACAACCACAGAGCAGTGAGGTTTGATTGTCCTCAAACCTCCAAGAACTTGAGAAAAT